AAAATTTCAAGAAGTTGCTTAGAAATTTCAACTCTATTTTTTTTGTTTTCTTCTGTTAAAACATGTGGAACCCATTTTGCACAAACTTTATGAAGGCCAAGTTCATCATGTAAAATATGTCCAATCCTTTCTTTTGAGACTCCAACTTCCTATTCTATTCTTCTAATAGGCATATGCAGATCTTCATTAATAAGCTCTTCAATTTTAGCAATTGTTCCTTGTGTGACAGCTTCATGGGGATGACCAGATCAAGAAGCATCTTCAATACTATTTTCACCTTCTTCAAAAGCTTCAATCCATCGATAAATTGTGCTTAATGATAGTGCTTTGGACCCTTCAGCAACCTCTAACTCTTTATGAATTTGGGATGGTTGTTTTCCATTTTTCCAGCTTACAAAAATGTAGTATCGTTGGTGTTCACGTGTTGAATTTTCCATTTGTTTTTATTGACAATGTTTGAAATTTGATATTTCTGGAACTATTGAACCAAAATAAATAATTTTTTTTTATTTGAAAGATGAAGACTGTGGCTTTTATTTAAAAATAATTTTAGCTTCATTGACTTGAAGAACGTAACGTTACACGGCTTTTGTCAAAACTTTTCAGACACCCCACGTATGTATAATATGCACATAAAATACACACAGGATTATTGTTTGTAGATTCTACATTCAGAATTGTTTGCATTTATAGGTTTTAATATTTATTATTATTTAAAATAGATTGAGTAATATAAATAGTAATCATATAATATATGTTAGAAATTTGATTATAATTAGAGAAATAAATTCAAATTGTTACCATATTGAATATGGGTCTGATTCATTTTGTCAACAATCATTTCGTCGACAATCATTTCGTCGAAAGTTTGTTTCGTCGAAAGTTCATTTTGTCGAAAGTTCATTTTGTCGAAAATTATTTCGTCGAAAGTTCATTTTGTCGAAAGTTCATTTTGTCGAAAATTATTTTGTCAACAGTTCATTTCTACAACAATTCATGTTAATTTGCATGTATTATAGTGTTACCAATTA